ATAACAACAACAACAACAACAACAACAATAACAATCAGGAAATCTTCTGAATGCAATGACTCTTTTTGGTAATCTGCGGCACACAAAAATTACCAGATATACATAGAGAACAGCAGTAGATTAACAGTTTGTTCTACAGGGCAAAACCTCCATTACATTTAACACAGCAATGTGCCTTGCTTGTGTGAACTGGAGTGAAGAAAGTATTGAACAAATAACAAGCCTCAAAATCCTACCTGTATCAGAATCCAGTTTTTGGGAAGGAGGGCAGTAATTAGCACTGTTTCTAGCATGTTTATATTGAAACATGGGAATAGAAGAGTCAAAGACATTGGTAACTGAAAACAGACTTACATGGATTTCCTTCCAAAACAGCTTATCTCGATCATAGAATCCTCCAAAGTCCTGGTACTGTCTAAGTAGTTCAATAGGGGGCTGTGAGCCATAACGATCCAGTTTAGGCATGTTTAAATCATCCACAAAAATGACAACTCTTTTTTTCCCTGGTGCTCCTAAACAATACATGAGGAAAGAAAGCACTGCTGGTAAGCCTTCCCAAAAAATAAAGCTATATACACCAAATATTTAGTATTTTGGTGTACTGTTCTTGTTCTACAATTCTAATTCTTCCAAAGTTCATTTACACTTAGCAATGTTGAAAAATCCTAGAGCAAAGCCTTCCACAGGTAGAAGCCCTACCACCAATTCTGTGAAGGTTCCGTTTAGATCCTTGAGCTTAAATAGGTATTCCAATATAAGACAGAAAGAAACTGAGACAAGTTTCTCATTGTAGGCTGGAAAGAAATATGCCTGAAAGAGGATGGTGGGTGGATTGTCTGAAAGCACAAATGATCATTTGAAGAGCCACAGTTGAAGATAACCAGTCTCTTTCTCCCATGTACCACACATCTATACTTGCTGATAGAAGGGCAGACAGGTTATTGAAGACTGCCCATCTGAAACCAGCATCTGTCTGTGCTCTGGTTTCTAATGTGTAGCGTCAAGAGAAGATGGACAGTTAGCTGCTTGACAAATGTCAGGCAATGCAATTCCCCTGGGAAATCCAACTGAAGCTGCTCTGACCCAAGGGAATGAGACAAATGCAAACAGAAGGAAGCAGGTTGGCCAACTTATAGGCGTATGATATAGTAGTATCTGCCACCCAACAATACTGAGGAAGGATGCTAATAGTCTCCCGTTGGGCTATGCATAACAGATAAAAAATGTCATTACTTGTTGTGAAAGGGGCTTGGCAAACTAAAGAAAGTAGACAGGACGCTGCCCTAATGTGGAAACAGGATGCTCCCTTTGGTAGGAAGCTAACACTTGGACATAGCACTATTTTTTATCTTGTGAAAAAACAGGAAGTGTGAATCTATATTAAGGGCTGCCAGTTTATTTCTCCTATGGTCTGATTTAATTTCTTAAAGAATTGAGAATTTTATTGATAATGAAGATAAATCTCATGCGGGCTAGGTTTGAACGATTTCCACATTAACACCAAGAGGACAACAGATAAACTACACATAGGCAGAGAGGAAGTTTTCAGTATATATTTCACTGACATTTCAAAAGCGTTTACTAAGAAAATATCTAATTTGTATCCCTAAAGATATACTGTATAATGTTTTTTAACAAATTTAAGGTAAAATGACTACCTTAGAACAAATGGCTATGAAATATAAAAGACTATGTGCAGTGACTATGAGCAAGATCAGATCCTCAGTTCTAAGTAAAAATAGAAACATGTTGTCTCGAACTCTGCATTTTTGAACCAGACAAGGCAAACTTATGTCAGTGGCAGAGAGGGACCAGTCTGCAAAAATCAATTTGGGGTAATGACCAATGGTATTATATTCATGGGCACTATAATGGTCACTAAACAGCTGTCTGTAGTAAAACCTGCTAAGGCATCTCTGATGTGAGACAATTGCCAAACAGGATGAAGACATATGGCAATGTTTTAACACTCTTTCTGTGGAAGGAATGGTTACAAGAAAGCTGATCATTTCCTTAATAGGGCTTGCTTAGGTAGGAAAGATTGAAAAGACTGACTAGCCAAACAAGACAAACTGAAGGGGTTATACTGATGGGGTGAGAATCATCAGAAGCCATGCAAGTCACAGAGAAAAAAACTGAATCAGGTATACTACTTCTGAATGCACCCAATTTCATCATCAATAATGGCATTTAAAAGGCTATTTTCAACAAATAAGAGGTCTTTAGCCTTGTCACACATACTCCTGAATAAGTCCAAGCACCAAAGTCATGCATGCCGGAAGAATTCAGTTTGTCAAACAAGATTTTAACACCACAACCACTATGTATTTGGCAGAGTGGGACTGCTGACTAGCTGCCACCCAGAGGCCTCATCTGAGAAAATGTTAACCGTAACTAATTGATCTTCAAGCAAGTATTGAAGTAAGGCACACAGCTCTCCTAAAGGAAAAAAAAAGGGCAGAGTGGGTCTTCTAATGTGAATTTTTGCCCCCCCCCACATTGACAATAACAAAATAGGGTTGGTGGTGGGATGAAGAAAATATAGCAATTATTTTTTAAAACTGAACCTAAAATCACTGAGACATAATCAAATAACAACAGCAAAAATATTGAGTAAGAAGGCAATCATAAATATTAGCAATTTGGGTTGGAAACTGGAGTGTTTTATATGTGCATACAATAAAGCCTGAGAGTGGGACTATAACCTGAACAAGTATTAGTGAAGCAAGATTGATAGCTGCAACAGAAATGAGATTTATTTATAGGAAATACACTATAGGGCTTATCAAAGTCTAGCCCTTGGCTAACTACATTGTACCAGGAGAAGAGCGAAAGAGCATGTGATCCTCCATTTGTGCAGAAGTCAGAACTGAAAGGATCTGAGATTAACTTCCTTCAGATAAAGAGCAGATAGACTGATGGACAAAGAGGAGACACAGAGTACATCCTTAACTCTCCATCTACAACCTACTGTCTCCTTGTGGTCAATGGCTCATGTGGCACTAAAATGGCAGAATCATTGGATTTGGATCTCCAAGACCTCCAACAATTTGGCAATCTGTGTATATACTGCATGTTTCTGGTAGCCTTACATTTCCACAAACTTTTCTAGGTTGCTTTGCTTCCCCACCCCCCAACCCCAGTGTTCCAATCCTTAGCTGCTCTTCAAAAAGCATGCCTCTATTTCTGTCTTCTCAAATCAAATATTCAGATACATCAGATTTTGATTTTCACAATCTCTAATTGTTGATCATGCTAGTTTGAGATTATACATAATAGAAACCCTAAACTTATGGAAGGCATCAGATGGGGGAAGGCTATTTTATATATGTGTGTGTTGACTCCTGGTGATTGCCTAGACAAGTCCCTGCAGTTTTCTTGGCAAGATTTCAGAAGTAGGTTGCCATTGCGTTCTTCGTAGGGTTGAGAGTGACTGGCCCAGGGTCACCCAGCTGGGTTTGTGCCTAAGGCGGGACTAGAACTAATGGTCTCCCAGTTTTTAGCCTGGTGCCTTAACCACCACACCAAACTGGCTCTCTCACCAAACTTTATATATACCATGCCATAACAACATATTTTGTGTAAATTAGATATTTTTCCAATATGTTACATCACATTGATAAGGGATCTGGCTGACATTAAAAGATAATCACAATACATACAATGGCATATGCTAAGCTAGCAGGCCTCTGCTGAGCAGTGATCAAATTAGTACTGTGATTTTGCACTTCAGTGAAAAATGTTAATATAGCATTTTCAGAACAATTGTGAACATTAACAATTAATTGATTTAGAAACAGAAATTGTCAGATGTTCTGTATCCAAGCTTTGGTAGGACTAGCAGTGGTAAACAGATTGTTTTATCTACTGGATATAATGGTATTTACCGTATTTTTCTGACTATAAGACGATACTTTTTTCTAAAATCCTTACGCTAAAAAT